TCCCAGAATCCCCCAGCCAGCATAGCATAGCTGGCTGGGGAATTCTGGGAGTTGAAGTCCACAGGACTTAAAGTCACCAAGGTTGAGAAACACTGACTTAGAGGGATATAAAGCACTGTGAAGTGGTATATAAATCTAAGTCTGCTATTGCTATTGTCGGTGTCGGCTGCCTTGTGACTCACAACATTATTCCTTATGGGAAAAAATGTTTGGCACTTATTGTTTTTGCTTCTCATCATGCTTCCCGGAACCAATTAACGATGACTACCGAAGTACCACTGTACTTCCTGCTCAGAATTTTAACTCAGATCAACAAAATAATTGCTTTGCACTGCTTTTCTTCTATTTCTTTGATTGCTGCTTCCTGGAGCTGTATTCTGAGTGCCAAACAGGTTCCTGGAGGCAGATGTACATACTCATACACACTCTATTTTCCCGAAAATAAGACCTCCCCAGGATAATAAGCCCAATTGGGCTTTTGAGCGCATGCGCTAAAATAAGCCCTCCTCCAAAACTAAGTCCCCCTCCGAAAATATTGCAACACGGCAGCAGCCATGAGGTGACCATGCTCACCACCTCCTGCATTTCAATTATAATAAGACCTCCCCGAAAATAAGGCCAAGTGCTTACTGCATTTTTCGGAGTATACGACGCACTGGAGTATAAGATGCACCAAAATTTTGAAGAGGCAATTTACAAAAAAACAAAAACAAAAAGCACTCTGCAAACCTCCCCAAAACTGACCATTTTTTGTGAAAACAAAACGGGCCCGTTTTTGGTTTTACAAAAGGGCATGCATAGCCTTTAGGAGGTTTATAGAGTGCTTCTGGGGGCTGGGAGGGCAAAAATGAGCAAAAAAATAGCATTTTTGCCCGCCCCAACCCTCAGGACCACTCTAGAGGTCTCCTAAAGGCTCTGCATGGCCATTTTGATGAAGGGGGCAGGGTTTCAGGAGGCCAAAAATGCTGTATTCAGTGCATAAGACGCACCCAGATTTTCAGCCTCTTTTTTGGGGAAAAAAGGTGAGTCATACTCCGAAAAATACGTTATTTCAGAGGTCAAAAGAAAACAAGACCCTGTCTTATTTTTGAGGAAACATGGTAAGTGCACAACAAATCAACAACAAAAATGAGCGATGTACAGTTTGGGTCAATGAAAAAGTACAAAAAATTAAGAGCCACCTCCCCACCCCCACCCCCAAGCCTGAATCTCTTTTCAGGATCAGAGTTCACACAGACCATTTTACTCTGACACTTACTAAACTGACCTTGTTTATAGTAAATCACAGTGGGGGATAGGGTTCAAAATGACCATTCAGTTTGCAAACACTCACTTTCACCAATATAATTTTCGGTGACTCTTTGCATTCTCCTTGCTTCTTCTGAGGCTCCCATTCAAACAAGGAACTGTAGTTCTCCAACATGTGGACCATAATTTTGTTACAGATTTCCTGCTGCTTCATCCCTTCAAAGCCAGGTGGGACACTGCAAGACAAATAAAGCAATCAATGCATAAAGCAGGATGAAAGCATCAAGCACTGTGTGTTTTCTTTTCTAATGGGGAATGAAATGAGGGACGCCTAGGCCAGTCCAAGGAAGCAGGGCAAAATAAGAGGGATGGGTCCGAACCTGATTTGTTCTTGGACTGATTTAAAAAGGAGAAAGAATTACTGTATTTTTCGGACTATAAGACGCACCTTTTTCCCTCAAAAGAGAGGCTGAAAATCTGGGTACGTCTTATACACTGAATACAGCATTTTTTTATCTCCTAAAACCTTGTCCCCTTCACCACAATGGCCGTGCATAGCCTTTAGGAGGCTCGTAGAATGTTCCTGGGTGCTGGGGAGGGCAGAAATGAGTGAAAAACAGGCCATTTTTTGTTCGTTTTTTGAGGGGGCACCTCCCAAGAGCACTCTACAAGCCTCCTAAAGGCTATTCATGCCCCTTTTTTGAAAAAAAACGGGCCCGTTTTAGCAAAAAACTAGCCATTTTGGGGAAGTCTACACAGTGCAAAAACTTTTTCTTTTAATTTGCCTCTTCAAAATCTTGGTGTGTGTCTTATACTCCGAAAAATATGGTAATAAGAGTTTCAAATGATCTTCAAATGCAGTGGAGTGTACCCTTGTGATGGATTAATTTTCCTAATCACTTTCGATTTTAGGGCATGCACTAAATATTACATCACGTACTCTAATGACTAAAAATGCAAATGAAGTGCAAGCATAGTAAGCCATGGAGCACAACAAAAAGTGGGAGTCTGAGTAATAGCAGTTAGACTTATATGCTGCTTCATAGTACAGAGTTAGCAAATTGCCCCCAACAATCTGGGTCCTGATTTTACTGATCTTGCAAGGATGGAAGGCAGAGTCAACCTTGAGCCGTTGAGAATTGAACTGCTGACAGTCGGCAGAATAAGTAATAGCAAGAGCACTTAAGAGTTATATACTGCTTCACAGTGCTTTATAGCCCTTTCTGAGCTGTATTGTTTACAGAGTCAGCATATTGCCCCCAACAATCTGGGTCCTCATTTTACCAGAAGGATGGAAGGCTGAGTCAACCTTCAGCCTAGTCAGGATTAAATTCCAGGCTGTGGAATTTCAAAGCCCTCATCAGAGCCTTCCCCCAGACTCCAGGACTGGCCCAGGTTCCTCCCCAACCTCCTCACTGTCTGAATCTGCGGCCAGATTCAGATATGTTGGAGTCACACCGTGAAGGCTACTTCAAGAGAAGATAACAGTGTCCTTGATTGCTCATGATGATACCCAGAGATCAAAAGCTAGTAGAATCTATTGTTGCAGTAAAATTTCTCCCCCTCATTGGACAGAATGCCACCTTGACATATTGCAAGCCAATTCTAAAACATCTGTCACTTGCAAAAGTAATTACGAAAAATGGCCTTTTAAAGTCAGGCAACCAGTTCCAAGGTTCTTTGGATATCAGCCCACCTGTTCAAATATATTGTAGCATGAAATAGAGCCTTTTGAATAATCCTCTTCAGGAAACTTAAGAGGCTTCGATCTCTTCAGCTTATTAGTGAACAAAACTAGTTTTCATTGAGGGCTGCATCAGGGTTGTTTTTGACCACAGGGAATCGGGTGGGTGTGGCAATGGTGGGTGTAGCCAGCTCAACATCACGTGTTGGGAGCACCTGTGGTGGGCTGGGCAGGGCTTGTGGGGGGTGTTACTTTAGCTAGTAATTTGTTTTGCTACCACTCTGCCAGCGAAAACGGAGCTTGGCGACCTCATTTGGCCTCTCTGGGCTCCATTTCCGGCTATGACAACCTCCTGCAGCCCTCTGCCAGTGAAAAAGGCTGCCGCACAAGCCCTTCCGAGTTCTGTTTTCACTGGCAGAGCACCGCAGGCTCGCCCTTTGCTTTTTCCAGGGTGGTGCCGCGGGCCAGATCTAAGCACCCATGCCAAGCATGGGTTTGACACCCATGACCTACACCCTGATGAACACTCATACTATCAATCTCCTTAATAAGCTCTTGGTCAGTGTCATAATCACGCTGAATTTTAGTAGGAGAGATGAGTAGCAATTCAAGTGGCTAGTATTACCTGCCTTGTAAACGCCATTTAATGTTAGAAGAGAGAAAAGACTTTGTGGCAGACGTTGTGGCCCGCCAGCAGAGCTGGCAGCAGATTCAGACAGTGAGGAGGTTGGGGAGGAACTTGGCCATTCCTGGAGTCTGGGGAAGGCTCTGATGAGGGCTCTGTGTCAGAGGCAGAGAGGGNCAAAGGATGGTAGAGGACAGGAAGGCCTGGAGGAATGTTGTCCATGGGGTTGCGATGGGTCGGACAAGACTTTGCAACTAACTAACTAACAACAACAACAAGGGTATTTGGGGTTTGTGAGAAAGGGGCTGGGATTACGTTTGTAAAACATGATGCTGTCATATTCTGATGGGTTAACTACAGGAGAAAAACTACAGCACCATCATGAGAGAAATAATTTACAGTGCTGAATATCAGAAGGGCTTAAAGACCCAAACAGAGAAATAGTGTGGAACCACTGCTTGCTTCTTCAATACATAAAAGTTCAGATCATAAATCCATTTGTGATACAGTGTTGTGCGATAGTACAATTTAGCTGCAGTTTGACAGTGCACTCCTCAAAATTATTGATAAGAAAAAAGTATTTATATACTTTGGAAAGATATTCAGATTCTGTAACATACAGCAAAAGCATTTAGACTTATATACTGCCCTATAGTGCTTTATAGCACTGTGGGCAGTTTACAATGTCAGCATATTGCCTCCCAACTATCTGGGGGCAATATGCTGACATTGTTTGACCGACCTCGGAAGGATGGAAAGATGATTTAATCTTGAGCCCCAACAGGATCGAACTCCAGGTTACGGGCAGTTTGTCTGCAATACTTCAGTCTAACTACCGTACCTCTAATGCAGTGGTTAAGACATATAGCTTTACCTATAAAACTCTAAAGCTACTTATCAAGATCAGAATCCTGCAGGAAATGATTTTCCTGTAATAACTCTATGCAAATAAAAAAACAAAAAAGATTTCTGAAGCAGGAGAAAAAAAATCAGTGATGCTAAAATTCAGCTTTGAAGGAGAAACCCGAGATTATCATCAATAGTCAAGAAAACAAAGGAAAATCAATCCAATGTTGTAACCCGAGGTATAAGTGACCATGCTCAAATGCTCATATTTTGGACCAGTGGTGAAATTCAAATTTTTTTTTACTACCAGTTCTGTGAGCGTGGCTTGGTGGGCGTGGCAGGGGAAGGTTACTGCAAAATCCCCATTTCCTCACGATCAGTTGGGACTTGGGAGGCAGAGAATAGATGGGGAAAAGACCAGTCAGAGGTGGCATTTGTCGGTTCTCTGAACTACTCAAAATTTCCATTACTGGTTCTCCAGAACCTGTCAGAACCTGCTGATTTCACTCACTTTGAACCTATTATGTGAAGACTCAACTCCCTTGAGGAATCAATAATATTGGGGAAAGTTGAAGGAAAGGGAGGATGACCAACAGCAAGATGGATGATTATGGTAGCAATGGTCAGACCATTAGAAAAAATGAAGAGCTAGGCTGGGCACAGATCATTTTGGAGAAGGATTACTTTATGAAGTCACCATGATCTGTTTGTTTGTTTATTTGAATTCAGGCTGCTTATGTTTTTTTAAAGATTTTCCCTGATTTTTAATTGTAAGCCATTTACCATTGTTGGAAGTCGCGCAGCCTATAAATTGTATAAATAAATCTGATGGCACGTAAGTCATAGAAAATAATAGGAGGAAGATATTTAGAGCTGCAGTAACATTAGAATGGCATGTCAAAATGTGAAATAAAACAAAACAATGTCATTCTCCTTGGCAGCTGTACAGGACTCTAAAGGAAAGACCACAGATGCTCATAAACTTTCACCTAGAAAGGAGTGTATTTTAATCTCGCTAGGGAAGAATATCCCAATGGATTTTTTTTCTTGTTCTTCTAATTTTTTTTTTTAGAAAAAATATCCATCTGCTCAATGAAATACTAATTGATTTGCAAGAATAAAATGTTCCCTTCAAAAGAAAAAAAATCAAAATTTTGTTCATAATGCTCCGCTTTACTATGTACCTTTCAGGTTTAATCTCTTCCCCTAAGAAGAGAATCAATATATGTCAATCGTGCAGTAGAAATGATAATCAGCTCAAAGCCAGGTTTGCTAAGCCATGTTAAAACTGATTTATGTTTGGTTTCAACACTGCTCTGAAGCTCAATTATTCTGGCTTAGTATTACATATGAACCAGGCAGCTTCAGCAATTTTAGCTGAAAAATGTAATTTAACCTTATGGGTGAATGCATGCAAGTGATTAGATCAGGGGTGTCAAACTCGATTTTATTGAGGACCACACCGGGGTTGTGTTTGACCTTGGGAGGCCTGGGTGGGCGTGGCCAGCTCAACATCATTTGTGTCAGGAGCGCCTGTGGTAGCCCGAGTGCTCTGCTGAGTTCTGTTTTCGGCTACAACGGCCTCCTGCAATCCTCTGCCATAAAAAATGGAGCTCAGGGTGTGTATCAATGCGGTCTTCCCGAACTCTGTTTTCACTGGCAGAAGCACTGTGGGCCAGATCTAAACACCCCACAGGCCGACTCGGGCTCCAGGCCTTGAATTTGACATCCCTGGATTAGATGGTATTTCTTGCATCAACCCAAAATGTGACCTGGAAGTTTTCCTAGTTAAGTTAACATCTGGAATACATTACATTACATTTGACAGGGAAAGAGTTATTTGCCAGACAATTACCAATTGCCTTATGGTAAATGCTTTTACCAACAACAGGAAGGAGGGGTGGGGAGGAAGACATACTACAGAGAAAAAAAATTGGCACAATGCTGTGGAATATATAAGATTGCACTAAGCCAGGTACATTTGCTTTTTTCTCTAATCCAACCAATTCAGCAAAATGTGAGCAACTGTTCTTTACTAGCCAATCTGTTTATATGTCTCTGTTATAGTTAAACCACTACCC